CACTTTTTCCAGGAAGCATCAGGGCTTGCAAGAAAGCTGCACTGGAGTGTGATGAAGCGAAATTTGAACAATACAAGGTGGCTGCTGGCGATCGTATCACGGCAGAGATCATCCAGTCCGTAGAGAGCTGCTTTGAGAAGATTAGAGGACTAGAGAGCTAGCAAAAAGAAAAATCTATCTCCCCTCCTGTTTTTGTTTCATTATCTCTGTCCCTAAATGAAATGAAATGATGAAATATTGAAATGCACATTCAGCCATCTAGCATTGAGCGCACACCTTATATGGTCTGAAGAGGAACTTGTATATATGCATGGTTGATATTTTATATTCAATTGGCCCCTAAATGAAGGGAAAGGAGGTGTTTCATTCTTCCGTCTCGTATTTTGTTTCCAATACATGAGAGGTGTTTCATTTCTTTTTACTAGTTTAGTTTAATCATGGGAGACTAGGGGCCGTTCGTTGGTCCGGAAAGACCGGCCAACCGGCTGCTCCCCTCTCAATTTACTGTTCACCAAACCAGTCGAACAGTAGTTTTTCTCTAACAACAAACCAGCCGGAACAGTGTTTTGGCTTCTTTTTTTCAGCGAAGCGAACGGATCCATATAAAACAGGGTTGAGGACCATGCGTACGTCCATGCCTCAGAGAACCGTGCTGCCAAGAACAAAACAATGCTGAGGGTCAGTATCGTCGATCATCACAACAGCCCCCCCGTTTCAAGTTACGGGAGATGGTGGAAAAGACGCCATGCTCATGTTCATTTATGTATGTCATTGTACATGAACATCTCTCACATCCACCACAAGCCAAACCTAGGCGGCCAGTTTCGATGTGCAAGGCCGGGCGGCAAGCTCCGCCCTCCTAACATCTCTCACATCCACCACAAGCCAAACCTAGGCGGCCAGTTTCGATGTGCAAGGCCGGGCGGCAAGCTCCGCCCTCCTTACATCTCTCACATCCACCACAAGCCAAACCTAGGCGGCCAGTTTCGATGTGCAAGGCCGGGTGGCAAGCTCCGCCCTCCTTATATGCCCCTTGCAAGGCCTCGACCAATTTGTTCATGCATCATAACCACATTGCATAATTCGTGGTTATGAGCAAACCGTTATCACACATATTGTAAATTTTATACATGATATTAAAGAACAAAACAATTTTCTCCCGTCTCTCACTCTCTCATCTGTCCATCGTCCTGTCAATCTCCAGTCAATTTTCTTAAAGTCACAACAAGTGTGCACATATTTAAGTTGAGTCAATCTCCTCTTGATTTTCTATAATGGAATTAATCATTCATTGCACTAACCTTTATTGTGGGTCTTGAATTTTATTTGATGTAAGGTTTGGTTATGCCCAATTAAATCCAACATAAATAGCTACCTCGTTGTCATTAGCATGAGACAATAATTTAATATTGGAATAAAGCACTCGTTACAATAATTAATAAATGAGAAGAATTGGACATTAGTTCCTGAGGAATTTCTCTAGGAATATGGATAAAGGAAGGAAAGAATAGTGTATTAGTACATATCATTTGTCCTATTCTTCTTTCCTCGGAAAGGGCATACTTAAAAGGGAATAAAAGAATAAAGAGTTCCTGATAGCCATTTCCTTAGCATGTGAATGGCGAGAAACTCTTGATCATTTCCACCAATTTCAAGTCCTGATTTTTTTAATGAGAAGAAGGTCTAATGACTTAGATTCTCTTGTTACTAACCATATACAGTTTATGCTTTAGTGTTCCAATAAATTGTACATCATATATTGCAACACACGAACATGTCTATTAGACTGTTGTCTTTTCTTCCTTGTCATGCCACGGAGACTCAAGTCTTATCCCCACGAAATCTTAAACTGTCGATTAGGAGTACTCCTACGGAACATTTTTTTCCCCACACGTGCAAAGCTTTTAGAATATAGGTAAACGGCTATAGGGAGACGAATTAAAAGAAAGAAAGACCATAGGAGCGGCGCGACTCGCCTTTCGTTTCGTCATGACGCCGCGCACGTGTCACGCGTGTCCGTGTGACGTGAACACAAAAGCGACGCAACCGTATGCCCGGCCGGCCGGCCGTCGGTGCCGTGCGCAAGTGCAACCACCACCCGTGCCGTGGCCGTGGTCCGTGGTCCGTGGTCCGTGGTCCGTGGAGCTCCTCCCCTCCCTCCAAGCCTGCTGAGTGCTGACCCTGCACCGCATGATCATCAATTCGTCACTGATCACGTCACCAACCCACACGCTGCGCGTGCGCGTCTGACAGACTCCTGGATCCACACCAGGCGGCACCACCCATCTCGCCAGCCATCTCCTTTCGTCCGTGGCGATGGTCCGTGGTCCGTGGACTGTACACCGTTCCAAACCTGTTTGAGTTCTAAACTTTTGTTCGATCAATGCAGCCGCATGATCAAAAGATCATCTCGTGATTTACTGATCACGTCACTAAATTAGTTATTTTTGCGCGTGCATTTCTGACATACGACGTCCAAAAAATGGATGTGATAGAAGAAGCAAAAACCACCCATCCAAGGTCGCCAGCCATCTCCTTTCGTCTTCGTGAAATGGACAGCTCAAGTCCTCTTCTCCAGAGTTGACAAACCCCTTGACTGAAATGGACAGTCTAAACCAATGGGTCAGTCCTTTTCTCCAGAGTTAACACCAACCAAATTTCAAATCCCCCATGGCAGGCTGACCGTTTGTCTGCCAACTGACATGCGCACACCACCTGACACCTGTCTGCAACCGCGCAACGCCACGGATTCTGGTTCTAGAAGCACCTGGTTCCAACATCCAACCAGAAAGAGCAGCCAGCCAGAGCCAGAGCCTGGCTTCTCAAGGCAAAGGGGCCGGCCATCTCGTCCCATGATGAGCCGCCCCGCCCGGCCGCCCCATGTTCGTTCGTCCATCGGTGACCGACTGACTGACAGACACAGCGACGGGAGGCGAAAATAAATGGCCACAAACGCTTGGTTTGCAAGCGTGACTCGCTAACAAACACCGCCCAGCCGGCGATTAATGAACACCTTCCTTTTCTTCCTCTTCTTCCTCTTCTTGGCACCTCCTCCTGTTTTTCCTCGAACAATCAATACCAAGACATCGATGGAAAACCAAAACCTGCTTTCATTTTGGTGCTCAGATCGGAGGGTTCTTAACTTACACAAGTGAAGGAAAAGAAAAAAGAACAGCAAATACTCCAGGATGCTTCTATTTGTACAGCCTTCATCAGAGAAAATACATTACAATGGAACTATACTATATGTCATATATGCATGCCACTAGTATAGGCTTGAAATGGCGAAATGGAAAAAAAAAGGAGATAAATATGCAAGCACACACTGCCAGGATTGAAACAGCTGCACACTCTACAAAATGGAGCCGACAGAGACACAGCCCGGACTGCAGCTCAAAGTCTAATTGTCGATGGAATTTACTTATTTTTCATCATCGTCGTCGATCGTCCGTCCGGAGAAATCTTGTCTCGCCGGCCTGTTCATCACAAAAGGAGGGTATCCTGTCAACTCCCGAGCAAAGAAGGGAACCTCACTAGTGTAATCCAGACACATAAACAAAGGAAGAACTGTTATACTTTTTCCAACTACCGAAATGGTCAAGTGTTAGCCGATGTTTTCTTAATCCGTTATTCAACTACGCTCAAGTTTCTTTTTTTCTACAAAAAGACCTGCAATCTGCAACACGTTGGGTGCATGAACCAGACTTCAAAGATTGATCAGGGGAAATCGTTTAAAAAGAGGGAAAGAAAGGCACAGCCACTAAGCTTTTGCTAACAAACCACGTTCTACATAGGAACATTATGCCACTGTTATAGTCCAAAAAATTGTGAGGTTGTAAACAAAAAAAAAGGAACAAAATGCCAAATGAATAAATAATAGAAAGGACAGTTGATCATTGAAAAGTAGAAACTAGAGATATTGAACCATGTTTTGCATGTGAAAACTCCAAATGAATCAACAGTCAGAATATTTTTTTTATTCCGTAGCAAGATGTTTCTTGTTAGATAAAACAAATCTACCAATTGGCCCTTTGTACAACCAGTGACCAGCAACCCTAAATTATGATCTGGGACCAAAGGCAAATAACATGTTTTTAGAGAACAAGTTTTTAAGAAATCTAGAAACTCAATAATAGGTTGAGGTGGTTTGGCCATGTCCAAATGAGACCTTCAGAGGCACCAGTGCATTGTGGAGTCATAAGTCGAGATATCAATGTGAGGAGAGGTACAGGAAGACCGAAGCTGACATGGGGGAAGGCAATAAAAAGAGATTTGAAAGGTTGGGATATACCTAGAGATCTTTGTTTGGATAGGAGTGCTTGGAAAGCAGCTATTGACGTGCCTGAACCATGACTAGGAGTTCATGTTGGGTTTCAACTCTAGCCTACCCCAACTTGCTTGGGACTAAAAGGCTTTGTTGTTGTTGTTGTTGTTGTTGTTGTTGTTGTAGAAACACAATAATAATAATAAAATGTATTCTATGTTGTAATCATGAAGACCGCTATATCTTTAGCACTCCATATATCAACATGATGTTAAGTTCTTTAACAAGCTCTAGGACGAAGCGCATAGAGAAAACACAGAACATTTTTCATATCCTCTGCCAAAAATAATAGTGAATGGTGAAAAAGAAAGAAGGTTGACAGTTCTTGATAGACGAAAGTGCACATAAGCCGTCCACTTTCTGTGCTACAAACAATAATTTAGCAGTTGACTCAGATAACAGGCTACTCTTAAATGAATGAATGATTGACTCAGTCCAGAGGAACTTTACTAGCTGTAGCAAGCATATTACAATACAAAATTTTAACCAGATGGGATCTTGAATGAAGGGTTAACTGGTCAAAAGGACTTAACAAGCTGAAATTCACATCCACCTAACTTTGGCTTGATGCTCATGGAAATTGAAGAATGTTTTCTTATATGTTGTCATCAATTGACCGATGACCATTTGAAGAAATAGAGAATTATGAACGGAAATTACCTTCCTCGTCTACCTATCACCCTTTTCTCTTGCAGTGGTCACCACACTTGTGGTAGGGGTTGGATGCGTTGACACAATCAGGGTTGATTTCTCCTCTTTGCTCATCTTTAGAAACATCCTTGCCTCTTCTCTTGTCTGGAAATAAACAGATAAATCGCAAAGCATAAATATAGCCGATTAGCCGCCAGAGGGAATCTACTCACTGACCCTTACACCACTGTTGGCACGTTGGGTATCCATGTGTACAGCACATGCAGTTTCAGGGAGAATTAAAAAGAAAAACACAGACACACACCTGACTTGGTTGCACTCGTCTGTGCTGTTTCACTCAGATGATCAAAGCAATACTGGGCACACACATGGAATGGATTGGACGCATTAGGGCACCTTGGATCAACCTTCCAGTTGGGAATCACTGCAGCATTCTTTCCCCCTGCAACAACAACAAATATGGTTCAAACAACACCGCTTCAAAAGTAACAAAAAGAAACCATGTGCTAAACTCTTTACACGATGCATGCAAATACAGACATAATTTCCCCCTTGCAAGGCTGCAATGAATGACAACACATAAAATCTCTAATAGTTCGTGAATTTGTTGGTCGATAACCACCGTAACTGAGGACCAACGTCACAATTCACCACACCATTGCAATGTCATGAACTAGTTATGCATGAATTACACACCAACAGGTTAAGCCCATCAGTACGCAATGATCTACCTTTTCTGCGTGGTGATTTGATATTGACCCCCTTGTGCTGCTCTGCCTGCTGCATCTTGGTGGCACAATGCTCACCACATTCATGGAATGGATTGCCGGCATTCGGACACTTTGGATCCACCTTCCTACTCCCCGGGGACTTCAAGCTACCATCTGATGCAACCAACAACCAAAGAACACAAAAATTATTACAGCAATGGACCAATAAGCTGCTGGAGAAAACAAGAGAGGCCAACATTACGGGTGATGAAGTTAATAACCTTCGGAGGACGAGGAGGAACGGCGGGAGTGGCGGGAGAAGAGGGAAATGGGCGACTTGGCGCCCTCCGACGAGCGGCCGGCGTCGGCTATCTTGGCGAGGCAGTGGTCGGTGCAGACGTGGAACGGGTTGGGCGCGTTGGGGCAGCGGGGATCCACCTTCTTGCCGTCGCCATCGGAACCTTCGCGCACTGCGAGACGCACGCACAGAGATGAGAATTTTCAGTTTTCTTCAGGGAGCGGCGCGCAACGATCGAAATCCGGAATTGCAGATAGAGAGCTTACGAAAGACGTAGAGGGGGAGGCTGCCGGAGCCGCCCTTGTCGCGGCGGCGCGGCCTGGGATTCAGCGCGCCAGGGTCGCTGTGCGTGCTCCCCTCGTATCCACGTGGCGGCGGCGGCGGCACCTTGGGAACGGGGACGGGGCAGTACTCGGCGCAGCGGTGGAAGGGATTGGCGGCGTTGGGGCAGTCCGGGTTTACCGCCTGCCACTGCCTCTCTCCGCCGGCCTCCCCGTCCGTGGCCGGCGACCGGGCGCTCGTCCTCGTCCTGCCGCCGCCGACCTCCCCGTCCGTGGCCGGCGACCGGGCGCTCGTCCTGGTCCTGCCGCCGCTGACCTCCTCCGCTCCGTAGTCCTCGACGCTCTCGCCTCGCTCCTCCGAGTCATCGACGACGGTAATCTCGCACTCCCCCTCGTCGTTGCGGCGCGCGGTCCCGTTCTGCGCCGCGTAGCCCAGCACCGGCGCCGGCCCCTGACGAGGCGGAGACGTCTTACTGGTCAGGTAGCCCGGGTTGACCGCTCGCGACTCCTCCCTCTCGCCTCCGCCCTCCTCCGCGTCGGCGGCGGGAACGACACGCGCAGCTCCGTCTCCGTGCTTGGCTGTCCCGTTCTGCGCCACCATCGTCGTCCTCGGACGAGGCGGGGCCGGCTTGCCGCGCGCGGCGGCGGCGGCGGAGGCGGCTTTGTTGGCGGCCGGGGCGGGGACGAGGCAGTAGTCGGCGCAGCGGTGGAAGGGGTTAGCGGCGTTGGGGCAGTCCGGGTTGACCCCCTGCGACCGCACCCCTCCTCCTCCGGCGTCCATCATCTCCGGCAGGAAGGCAGCAAACTCACCCCCCAGAGAGGCTCCGGGCGAAAAGAGTCTAGTTTGACCCGCAGCTAGCAACGGATTCGCAGAGACTCAAGTAAAGACGGGTGCTTGGTGGGTGGTGGAAGAACCGGAACGGGGAGGAGGAGGATGCCTGATTTGACAATTGAGGGTGGAAGTGGGCACGGGAACGAAAGAGGAGGACACGAGGCAGACGAAGGGGAAGTGGTCCAAGTTCCAAGTCGTAGCAGGCTAGCATGTAGCGAGCGGCGAGCGGCGACGAGCGAGGGGTGTTTGGTTCATCGAATGTTAGACACGTGCATCCAATATTAAATATATATTAATTACAAAATTAATTATTTATATTTACAACTAATATGTGAAATAAATCTTTTAAACCTAATTAACCTATAATTTAATAATGTGGTGCTACAATAACGTGTGCTGATAAGATTTTTTTAATTTTAACATTTTTTGATAACTAATTTTAAATCTAACACGATCGGATTTCTTTTTAAAACTAACACTTTTTGCCACGCCTATTGCCCTAGCGTGGTCAAATGTCTGTGCCGCGCCATACATGGTAGTGCGGCGCAAAGAATGCATATGGCGACGATCGTTGATGTGGCAAGTCTCGCCATGCCACCTTAACCTTGCGTGGCAGTGTTGCTGCGCGATCCGATCCATGGCGTGGCTAGGCGAAATAATACCCGCGGCCGATCCCCGCCTACCCGAAAGCATCAAGCCGGCCGCCTCGCCCACCACCCCGCCCGTTGTTGGTACTGACGACGGTTTAATCGGAACGCGTCGCGCCGATAGTGTGAGTTATTCTAAATATTGCTTGACATAAAATCAATAGTAGTTTTGTTTCTATCTTTTGTTGAATTTTTTTCACGGCCGAATAGAGAATTTGATAAGTCAATGATTTGTTTTCCGTCTTTCATAATACGGTTAACGACCGTTTTAACTAATCGATTACGAAAAATTACCACCGGCATCGAGATACGCCGGGACTGTCGGTTCCCGAACTAGTTGGTACTTAATCTCGTCGGGAGTGCTGCCGCGACGCAAAGAAACAAATATGAAGCAAATAAATAAAGTCCGTGCGCAAGTTGACAAGCTGCCACATAATATTTTCATTGTTTTGACATAAGTTTGACATAACATAACCAAATAACCCCGCAAGTTTCGGACGCCAATATTCACTTGACCTAACAAACTAAGATCCAGGAGTGTAAGGATCCCGCGAACGCCTCTGTCTCTTCGGATTTGTTGGCAACACATTGGGAGTGTAGCCAACGTCGATATGGTCGCGTCGACGGTGCGTCTGGCTCGTACCCTGTAAGTATATAATGCGCACGATTACTTATAATTATTTATGATCGTTAGTTCATGGAGCCTACGTATTAAATAAACTATCTTTGATAGTACCTATGAGGCTCTTTGGGTACCAAGTGGGGCACCACCTAGCTGAGACATGCCGATCTTGTCCTGCGGCCAATCGTCCCACTGGTCGTGCTGTCTGCGGAAGCCCAGGGGGTCGTCGTCGTCGTCGTCGTCATCCTCGCCGACCTCGGTTGCATGGTCCTTTCCAGTAGCTATGATGTGGTGGTGGTACGCACCATGAAAGTGGCTTTTGTCATCGGTTGAGAAGAGTCGGTTGGTGTCCTCAAAGAAAGAGGTCAAGACGTGCACCCGACCCGCGCCGGAGTGGCGGTTCCTCATAAGGAGTGTCCATGCAGCTCAACTTCTGAGCTAGCTTCCTGCAACTCTTCTTCACCTTCTGCATAAATAGACGTTAAAGTTAGTGCATTACCCAAATGCATATACACTAAAGAAACATTTTCAAAACGGACAAATTTATGTTTACCTCCACAAAAGCCGCGAGAACACCTAGCCCCTGCCCTCTAAACTCGTGAAACCGGAACGCTGCTTCGTTGGACAACCTTGACAATTGTGTTGCCTAGATACAGAAACACGGTTGGATAGTTTTAGTACACATGTTTAATACCAAAAGGATAACAAATTATACCATTTAAGTATATTACCATGTATCTTTGAAGCGGGGCTCTCTATAGCTGTGTGTCCTCCCTAGTGGTAACGTCATACACATCTTCGATAACATCTTCCTCCGAGTCCTCGTCAATCGCCTCCTCAGTGTACGGGGGCTTGATATGTGTCCTCGTAGACCGGTGAAGCCACCATAGGTACTCGTTGAAGGTGTGCTGGTCGTGTGGAGGACCCGCATGGACCGGATGTCGTACCCTGTTCTGCCACAAATGGATGTGCGCGCTGTGTGTCATGCATCAATTCTTGGTCTTGTACCTCTTCCTGCGGTCATACCTACAACAAAACCGATGTTAGTTATACCACACACCTCTGAATTGTAGCATTGTTATTAATCGATAACGCACCCGTGCAATTCTTGGTTGGTGGAGTAAAGCGGTGGTGGGCTGCCTGTCATTCTTCCAAACTGTCTACAGATCCGGATGGGCAAGTGAATCTTGAGCACATGAAAGAAAATAAGAGAGACGTCACAGCGATACTCGTCTGACTCATCCCTAGTGACAGGACTGAGATAGTCCTGGAGCTCCGGAGAATCCCAAGGATACCAATGCACCTGAAATTTTGTAATTGAGTTAGGCTGTGATATAGTGTACATCAAAGAAGACACAGGTATGATAGTAAAGAGAGCATAACCTGGTGCTGTGTTAGGACGTCGAGACCGTCTGTGTACTCCCTGTACTTGCGCCTCACATTTCCTCTAACTAACTCTGATTCCGTCAAGATAAACAGAGTTGTAGGGAGTGTGTCCTGCCCGTTCCATTGCTGCATTGAACACGATAATAAATTAGTCATTAATAATCTCATCATATGTAACTGCCTCGAAAAATATAGTAAACCGAAGTATTTACTGGTAAACCATTATTAAGAGGCTTCCCAATGGGCCATCATTCCCAACACCAAACCTGGAGTAGGTAGGAGCAACCCCTAAGGTTCGTATATCCTGAGGTGCGACGGCAGGCAACGCATAGCTATCGATATGTCCATGCCAGGACTATGCTGCCCCAGCTGTACGTCGCTGTGTTCTCCCATGGCTGGCGTAGTATGTCAAGGAAGATCCAGCTGATGGTGTTGCCCGAGGCGTCTGGGAAGAGGAAATCACCAAGAAAGTGCCAGAGCCACACTCGAGCGAACCTGTCGATCAGAGCCTCCTTAGCCTGTGGGTCCAAGTAATCAAAGCGCTTTGTGATCCAGGACGACGAAACACCGGAACTTTTCTTGAAATTGACCAAAGAAAATGAGTCCTCATGGCTGCAGGAAAGCAATGCAAGTATTAAATAGGCTTGAATTACTCACTTATTTTTCTTGAAAGCCTCGTCATCCGGTGGAAGAAAGTCAGTAAACTGAGCTACCAGCTCCCTCCAGTGATCGTTGTCAACTATCCCTATCACTAGAAGTCCCCCAACCGAAGGCCTAAAATAGCCTTCACGTCTCTACAACGTCAAGGTCATCTCGCCACAAGGTAGGTGGAACGTATGGGTCTCAGGCCTCCACCTATTATAAGAATAGAAGGTCTGTTAGTTGCCTCAAATTTGTTATAAGAAAGTTTACGTACAAAGAATGCACTCGCACCTGTCTACAGCTGCAGCAAGTAGTGTTGGGTCAAGGGGCGGAAGACCATGGTTGACAACATGGACAAGCTCGAGGAAGCCGGCATGCCGTATGTACGACGCATAACGCACGTCCCACTGGTGCGCCCTGGTATGCATGCAGGGCCTCAAAGGAGGCAAGGCCACCTCTGCATCGTTGTCACTCAAGATGTGTGCTCGGTGCTGGTCGTCATACTCCACCTCAAGAATGGGGTACAATGGGTGCTGCGTGGGATGTGCCATCCTGTTACAAATTAATAAACAAAGCGTTAGAGTATTCAAATTAACAAAATTCAAATTAACATTAGTAAGTTCATAAACAAATCACAAACAAATTCACTAGCCTAACTATTCTAAATCCCTAAACCCAAAATCCTCACTATACTAGATAATAAATACATAATCAATCCCTAAAATCTCTAAACCCTTTTGGATTTAGGGTAAACTAGTATCTATACCTAAAATCCCTAACTAAATAACTAACTATAAACTAAATAATAAATACATAATCAATCCCTAAACCCAAAATCCTAACTATACTAGAACACACAACCTCAAACCTAAAAACTACCTACGTAAATCACAAACAAATTCACTAACCTAACTATCCTAAATCACTAACTATCATAAATCAATAATAATCATGAAACCCTAACTATCCTAAATTACTAGCTATCCTAAATCACTAATTATCCTAAATCAATAATAATAAAAAAATATGAAATCGAGATAGAGGTACCTTAGAGCGGCGGCTTTTTAACGCTGATTTTGGTGTGCACGGAGTGGTGTGGTGGGTGGCGGTAGCGAGGCGAGGAGCGAGGTGGGGCGGATAGTATGGCGTGGGAAGCGGAGCGCTTGCTGTGCATGGGGTCTTGTTGCACGTGGTGGGTGGGCGGGCGGTGGGGCGGTGGGCGGGTCACAGACGTGGTATTTATTCGGCCCAGCCGCGCCATGGATCAGGGCGCGACATTGCCGCGCCAAGGTCGGTGGCATGGCAGGGCCTGCCACATCAACGATCTCTGAATCCGGTCGTCGCCACGTCAGTCCGCTGCCGCGCCACCATGCATGGCGCGGCACATGCATTTGGCCGTGCCAGGGCAATAGGCGTGGCCAAAAGTGTTAGTTTTAAAAAACCCTGACCGTGTTAGATTTAAAATTAGTTATAAAAAAGGTTAAAATTAAAAAAATCGGTGATAACGGGTTAATTAGGCTTAATAAATTCGTCTCGTGGAGTACTGAAGGATTCTTTAATTTGTTTTTTTATTAGTATCTGAACACCCCATGTGACACCTCCTAGATTTTAGTCACTAGATCCAAACACCCCCGAGTGGCAGGGACGGGGGAGGA